GAGAGAGAGAGAGAGAGAGAGAGAGAGAGAGTTTTCCATCGATAGGATGAGCAACTCACCGGCCAACAGGTAAGTCTCCAACCCCGCGACTGGCCCCACGCTACTTCCATCGATAGGATGAGCAAGATCAAATGAATCTTCCGCTAGAACATCGTAATATACACTGCGCGCGCGTGTGTGTGTGTGTGTGTGTGTGTGTGTGTGTGTGTGTGTGTCGAAGTGCAAAATGCAACCATAGCAACCCATTTAAGGGGATCTCCATCAGCCATGGATATACCATTAGTTCTGCAAGCAGTAGGATCACATACCTTGTCATCATAGGGCCGTAACCATCACTCCTCGTCTGCATCTGTTGGCAACAAAAACACACTTCTATACATACAGGGAGGGTTAGAGAGTAAGAGGTATAGCAAGGAAGAAGGGAGAGTGGAGTAGGGAGCATGTTGGTCAATGCCATCAACACCAGTAGTATAACTGGTGGAGGAGGGGTGGCGCATCCCCGAAAGCGCTTTTCGCCGCTTGCGCCTGTCACGGCTCTTCAGAGGGCGTGGTTCCTCTGGCTCCCAGTGGTGGTGAGTGGGCATGTGGTGAGGATTAGAGCAGTCAGTGTTCTGTGAAGAACTTACCACGTGCTCGTTGGCTTCAGCTTCGGCGAAAAATTCGTCCATGGCCACCATTCCTGTCCACGTACTCGGTTAGAGATGGCCCGACGTGATCGCATTGTTAGGCTTCAATTCCTGCGTTCTGCCGATCAGATCTCACAGCAGCTGCGTTTGTTCACGTGTGTGAACTATTAGCAACTGTTAGCAACTGCTAAGGAGGTAGAAGTATGGAAGGTAGGAATTCTCCTTTCTCAGGTAGCTATGGAGGGTGTAGTCATCCCACCCGTAGTACCGAGTCTAAGGTTGAGGAGAGGAGAGCGGGGAGGGGGGATAGTGAAGCAGGAAGTAACCTGTGCAACCAACAGTGGGTAGCTCCGGCTAAAGATGCGAAGGAACCCATTGGTCGCTTACTTTTAAGCAGGTGTAGTGAGATGGATATGCAGCTGGAGTGCAAGGATGGTGTGTGCGGGCGTACGGGTATGCTCGGCGATAGATTGCTGGGCTGGCGAGGTTGGGTTGAGTGTGGTAGGGGTAGCGAGTCAGGGGTGTGGTGGAGGTGAATGTAGTATAGATTTTTGCCGATTCATTACGTAGGGGGGGCTGGTTAGAGTGGTTTTTTT